TTCGGCTTGAACTTGGGTGGTCAAGATGTCATGGAGAAGCTGGCCTGTCGGATGTCAGCAGAGGGAAGTTCCCACCTGAACTCTGAAGCAAGCTCGTCTTTGAGCTAACCTGGTCAAGTGCGCACACAGTGGCTGTGGTTAGCCTTTTGTGGGAGTCAGCCCAGAGACTGGTGTAATGGGTCATTCCCGAGTGCGCAGACAGCCTCCTTCCCCCGGACATCTGGGCGTTTTGGAGAGGCAGCCTGACTGACTCTTAGGAGCGGCCATCCACGCAGTGCCGTCCTGCTTTTCAGAGGCCGTGTGGACGAAAGGCTGGTCAGCTCAGTGAGGCAGTCTGGGAAGAGGGGCGCTGGTGTGTGTCAGCTTTAAGGTAGAGTCCTGGGTTTCCATCCCCACCGCCCAGGAGAGGGACCTTGAGCCATTTCCCTGACCTCCTGAAGAAGCTTCGTTCCCCGCCCCCGCATCAGAGGCTTAGCACAGAGGAAGTGCTCAGAGTCTCGCTTTGTTATTTCAGTGGCCACCTGAGCAGATTTGAGCATCGTCACTGTCTTGGCAAGGCAGAACAGTGTCTTGACCAGTGGACTTCATTCCGGACTCACCAAGTCACAAGCTGTCTCAAATTCCAGCCTCTCGCAGCCGTGTCCTGGGCAAGGTGCTGGTCAGGCAATAAGCACTTTCTGCTTTGCCCGCTAAACCTTCTCTCCGTAAGCGGGCTAACTGGTCAGCTGGTGCATTGGATTGAACTGTGTCCCCCCAAATTCATGTCTGCCCAGACCCTCACGTGATATTATTTGGAAATAGGGTCTTTGCACATGTGATTAGTTAAGGATCTTAAGATGAAATCATTTTGGATTTCAGGTGGGCCCTAAACCTAATGACACAGGGAGACACGCTGTGTGACTAGAGTAAATGTCCGTTAAGTCCCATTTGTGATAATGCTCTGAAGATCCTCAGCAACGGAAGTGTCAGTGTTTACAGATCATGACCTTGTCCCTGGGGTGTGGGACACTCACGGGGAGTCTGCAGTGCTAAGAAGCACAGCTGGGGTGGGGAAGTCACCAGGTGAATAGGGGCCCCGGGCCACCAACTGCCATCTAGCTGCATTATTTTTTTTAAACTTGTTTTATTATGTAGGATTTTAGGCAGAAAACAAAAGCACAGGTAATATAACATACACTGAATATTTTTCATGCAACGTTGAAAGTATTGACTCTTGGTTATGTTCTCATATTTAAGTGAGCGTGTCTAACGCTTTCTGTATTTTATTGAAAAGATGATATGCTGCTTAATAAACTTAAAAAACCTACCCAGCTGCCCGCCTGGGAGGCTGCTTTTCTGCCTCTGACTTTGCACACCTGCAGTGTAGCCGTGGCAAGGAGGTAGGCTGGGTTTTGCCATTTTCACAGGACACATTTTCCATGTTTAAACATGGTGCTTATATTTATACTTTTTTCATTTTTTTTTTTTTTTTAAATCTCCGCGGGAATTTACTTTCAAGCTATGGAAGTCATAACTGCTTGGGGCAACAAGTGAAAACACACAGAGATATTAGGAGACATCTCAAGTCCCCAGAGTGACAAGAGATTGGTAGCGTCTCCCCAACCACCATGAAGGCGGGGGGAGGAGCCCAGTGGCTTCCGCACTCCTGGTCACTCTCTCGAGGTGGGCAGCGCTCCGGAGAGCACCACTCAGCTGCCTGAACCGTCTGCAGCTCCCACCGTTCCCTGGGGGCGCAGAAGGCCCTGGACGGGGAGTCCGGGTGGCAGAGGGCGGGGCACAGACCCTAACTCCCCACACTTCCTGCTGGACTGGAGAGGGCCCCAGAGGCCTCTGGGGGTGATGTCAGCACCAATGCGGGAGAGGCCTGGTGCAGACGGGAGGGGCCTCGGCGGGCACCGAAGAGCGCTCGGAGTCCGGGTCTGCGGAGGCCGCAGACTACGGCGGGGTAGGGGTGGGGGGCCGAGCGGGCCTTCACCGAGCTCGGTTAACCGCCTGTGGGGACGCAGGAGCAGCCTGAGATGGGCCGTGGGCCATTCCGTACTAAGGGTCTCCGAAACGTAGCGGGGCAGACTTGAGAGTGGGCCCCCGCCCCCGCAATCACACAGGCCTGCCCGCGCCTCCGGATCTGGGTTTCGCTTTCTTGAGGCATCCGGTGTTCTGCCTGGTAGCACCCCGGACCTGAGTGTTTTGAGGGTGTAGACTATGGCAGACTCTGTTTCCCACCACAGATGTCGCACAGAGGGGCTGAAGTCGGTCTGCTGACACTTTTAGTGGGTCCACCTTAAAATGTTATTAGTTGTCTACATTTAAAGATCACGAGATCTTATACACAATTCCGTGTCTGCTGCTGTTTGAAAACCAGACTTCCGGCCCAGACACGACTCAAGGCGCCTCAGGCTCACGGTCCCCCACCCTGGGTGGTCTCTTCCTCTCCTGTCTCTTGGGCAGGAAAGTTCAGGTGCAATAATATTCGGTTATAGTTGTAGGATTTGCTTCAGACATTGTCCCCCCACCCCCACCCCGTTTCCTCCAATCCCCGTTGCTGTCTACAAGCTGGGGGAGGGGACAGCAGGGACCCCGGTGACCCAGACGTCAGCCCTGGGGTTGAAAGACTGCGTGGAGCCCACACAGCGCCCCAATAAGATGGGCTGGGGAGAACGAGGATCTTGTTAGGCTGGTCGGGAAAAATATTTACTGCGTCAACAGCTTCTCCCGTTGTACTGAGGTCTGTGTCCCCCCAGCAGGAGCCTGATTCTGTGACCTCTCACTTGTCACCGAGGCCTGAGACCACTTCCGTTTGGGATTTTCCAAAATAATTAGAAAAACACTAAAAATGTCCCAGAACACGATCTTTCTGTGAAAAACAGACACATCACCACCACCACCCTGCCGTGAAAAAACTCTCAAAAACAAAAGAAATCCGAACGGACAGACATAATTTCGTCTGAAATATTTTATAGAGAACATGATCGTAAACATGATCTCAGATGACTTACAGGAAATAAGGCCCTCCAGACCGGCCTGCTCCCTATTCGGCTACCGGTCCCCGCAGCCGCAGTCAGCTCACCTAATAATTTGAGACACGCGTGTGTGGGTGGCCACGCGGCCGCATGAAATGACAGTGACTCCGGGGAAGTCCCGGGTTGACTCTGCCGGAACCGGCCTAACTCGGGGCTCAGCGGTGCTCCCGCGCGCGTCCCGCAGCCTCGGGAGCCGTCCCCCGCGCTCGGCCCGAAGCCCATTTATTGCGCGCGGGCCGGATCATGG